TAGCCACTGGAAAATTGATACTTTATGTATGTGAAAATGGCTTTTTTCCTCCCATTTCAAACTACAAGCCTTGCTCCCCTATGTATCTTATAATGAAACAGTTTCTCACTTACTTAAACTTGAGGAGTGCTAACTTGAAGACATAATATAAACTAGCCTTATTTCCAGCAACACAGGAGGGTTGGGACTATTAACTGTAAAATGTGAAAGAACTGTTAGCAGTTTCATTTCACATCTGCATGTGCTCTGAAGAGAAGTAGAAATCTAACTAATGAGATAAAAACCATTGGTCCTGATACTGTTCATGACTCTGCTCAGGCTCTGTTTTGTGGCCATTCACCAAATCCTCATGACGGACTTTTCTAATGTAATCCTAATGTAATCCCAGGAAAATGGAATGTTAGGGAGTCACCATTATAGTAGCTAATGAGAGAACCTGAAATCTGAAGACTTACTCTTTAGACACATAGGTCGTCAGAGAAACGGGATTTAAACAGTTCTAAAATATACCATACCAAAAGAAAAGGCGAAAAAAAAAAATTTATACCAGCCTACAACTCATTAAATCAGTGCTAGAGTCTCAAATATAGCTAAACAAAAACTATTACCACAAACTGAACTAAGACAATATAAACAGTTCCTAAAGCATCATTTGCCAAAGTTTGGATGGCTTCTCAAAAAGCAAACTATAAAATCTTAAGTTTTGAGAGCTCACTTTTTAAATAGGGACGTCTTTGAGGAGCATTTTAGGGTTAGATATCCTTTCGTGATAAGTTAATTCAGATGCACTGACTTCTGCCAAATTTTTATTGCAGCACAAGCTCTACATTTTCTGAAGTCACTAAATTTCTCGTTACAGCACAGGAAAAAGAAGATAAAGTAGGAGAGGTATCAGTTTCAAATTCAGTGCTAAGCAGCAACATTTTTGAGATGCAATCATAAAACCAAATATTTCACCCAGGACAAGGAAAAAGCAGTGGATCACCAGAAAGCAGAGTAAAAAGCTGCAAGAAGATGTGAAAAACAAAAAGAAAAGCAAGAAAAGTGAGAAGATGCCAAACTTGGAACAAGGTCTTATTGACACATGCTAATCTCACTTCTTTAGGCCAAAAAAAAGAAAAAGTCTTTGTTCACATAGGTAATATATGCATCTTTGAGAATAACAAAGTTGCTAGGGAGATAAATTTTTTAAAAAATATTTTTTTATTTTCTGAAATATTTGACTGTTTCAACGATAAACTAAAAGTTATAAATTTTGTTGTTTCTTCTTCTTTATGTCCTGTAATATTAACTTGCTAGATGGTAAAGGAACCAAGTTAATGGAAGGGCCTTGATAATGAGTTTCTCCTGTGACAAATCTTTGCTATTTCTGATTTTGTGGATTTAGAACAAAGTTACAAATGTGCTTATTATTTTATTAGTAAGGCAATATATAGATTTTTTTCCCTGAAGTTGAAGGAAATGAATGAATACTGGCACTCTTCCCATTTATTATAGACAATACTCTTATTCCCTCATTTGCTCCTTTCAAACAGGCATATTTTATTTTTAAAGATGTATTTACTTATTCTGTTTGGCAGCACTGGGTTCCCTTTACCACACGTGGGCTTCTCACTGCTGTGGCTCCCCTATTGTGGAGCACAGGCTCAGTAATTGTGGCACACAGGCTTAGCCGTGTGGCATGTGTAATCTTCCTGGACCAGGGATCAAACCTGTGTCCCTGGCATTGTCAGGGGGATTCTTAACCACTGGACCACCAGGGAAGTCCCTACACATGCATATTTTAAAATAAAGAGCCCAAATGTGTTAATTTGAGGACACCAACAATCTGAGAGTCCTTTCCATTATTTCTTTAGCTTGCCTCTCTTGATAGATACACACACTAGTAAATGCAGTTCACACACCTGCGAGAAACTTTGGATTTAAGCACTGCAAAACAGTGATATTTAAAGGACTGTCTTCTCGACTATCATTAGATTAGCCTACATCCTGCTGAAAAGACTAGATTAACATTCGTGTGTTTTAAGTCTTTTAGGTGTTGGGAGTAACCAGTAAGTCAAAAGACTGTGTACTTCCCTAGTGTCAGATCTAATCAGTGACACTTTAATATATGTAAGATGAGCACAAACACACATATAAGGAAAATAAAACCACATAATACTTGAGACTCCAAAGGCATCACCGACTCAATGGACATGGGTTTGGGTGGACTTCGGGAGTTGGTAATGGACAGGGAGGGAGGCCTGGCGTGCTATGGTTCATGGGGTTGCAAAGAGTCGGACACGACTGAGCAACTGAACTGAACTGAACTGAACTGAACCAAAGGCATCATTCCTAAATGCCTCTAAGTTACACATTCCTCCCAGTCTTTGTTTAAGAGCCTTCTGAAGACAAATCTGAGAAGCATTACTTTAAATATTCAAGTAGTAAGCGCTCTTTAGTGTCAGTATTAGGTTAAGTTTGGACTGGAACTAAGATAAGCATTCTAAAATTGAGATCATAAAGGATTACATGAAAGCACCACCCTGTCAGTTGCCACTAGTAAAACAATTCAACTTCACAACTAGACTGACACTGATATGTTTTCTTCCAATCAAAAGTAGCTTCAAACTTTGCATCTTTCAGGTAAGTCTATAAAAAATTTCTTCATTTCCCTTTATCTCAAAGGAATCAAACATATTGATTTGGCTTTCCTACAGTTAGTGACTGAGCAAAGAACTACTCATAGCCTTACTCTCACATATTTGCTCTTAAGCCAGAACCACATTACTTACAAAGATAAAAGACACCCCATTATGAAATGGTGACATTTGGATGAAAAAAAAAAAGTCATTTCCTTTGAAAAAATTTTCCAAAAACTTATTGTAGTTTTTATCAAAATAAAAACTTTACATCAAAATAGCAGCTTTGGTAATGGAATGTCTTTTTCCTTTCTACTGGGAAAACTTAGCATATTTTCATGAACAAAGGTAATGGAAATAACTAGGCACAGTCATTTCATCATGTGACTTTCAGAGGATGATGAATTTGTAAAGAGTTAAAGCAACAAAGTCATGAATATGTTGAAGAATTCACACAAAAGGTAGAATTCTCACTTCTCTTTAATCACTGAGTGTTCAGCTTTTACAAATCTTAGAACAATTCAGGGAACTAAGGTTCGGGGTGGGAGACAGTTCTTACTGGTACATGAACTATTACATGCTCAATTTTATGTAAATAATTCAGTTGGCTGGATTAACAAACATTGTCACAGAAACACAAAAAAAATTTTTTTAAAGCCATAGATCACTGCATATATATTTACAAAAAGCCAAAACAAACATGCACTTCTCCTTACCAGGAGAACTGAAATAGATGTTTGAAACGTTAAGGCAGTGATGATTCTAAAACATAATGAAATACTAAGTTAAGGCTTTATGTTTGTTTTGAAACCCATATTCATAGGCAGCTGTGACCCAAGCAAACTTTTATCTACCAGGTTGAGTTCATCTGCCCAGGACATATTATTTATCCATTACCACCAATGGGACAGGAATTAGTAGCAACACCAGTGATTTTCTCTAACGAATTATTATTAGTTCCCTCCTTAGGTTGTATTTTGAGGGTTTAGTCTTCAGCAGCATAAAGCATGTGCCACATGAGGAATAGAGCATTTTTTTGGGTAAACTTAGAAAAATGTACAGACTGCATTGATTTTTACCTGCCTGAAAGCTGGCCAACAATCAAGAACTCAGGATCTTATAAATACAAAAAACCCTACAAGTGTACCTGACTGCTCAGCCATCTCAAAACATATTATGTTCTTGAAGTACTGGATCTTCACCTCATTTCTTTGAAGACTGTTCAGTATTACCCTCTCTAAACAAACAAACAGCAACATAATGCAGAATGCTGTATTTTAGACAGATCTATTCTAGAATTGCTATCTTTCTTGCTAGACCAATGTGTTTCCTCATTCAAGGAAAAAAATGAAAGGTGGATGAAAAGAAGATTCACTTTACTATAGTTGCTGATTGCACTCTTGCCCTAGCAAGCTTATGAAAAGTATGGAAGTGTAACGGAATATCTTTTTCTCCTTCCATCACTGTGTTTGTTTTTTAACGTTTAGAGACAACACTCAGAGGGTGGGGTGCAGCTTGAGCAGCAGCTCTGGAGCACCACCGTGGCCTCCGGCAGGGTGCAGGAAGAAGGGCTTGTGGGACACACTCCAGGAGGAGCTAACAGGCGTGATTCCACAGCCCAGCCTTTCCAGAGCTGGGGTGACTTACTGTCACTTAGACTGAAAGGATCACTATTTACACTAGGTGCTTGCCGCTACTACTTTAAGCAATAATTGTACAGCAACATGTCTTGTGAGCAAAGTACTATACACTTATGTTCATACCAGTAACAGTTCACCTAGAGGGATGGCATTGACTATATGCAAATTGTCTCAGGAGCTAAAGACAACAGCAGTTTTCCTTTGTGTCTTCAAATCAGGGAAGAGTGAGATGTCAAAGCAGGTGAAGCTGTTGGTGTTTAAATCTGACGGTGCAGTGTCAGACTTCTTTACACGTCATCAGGGAACAGGAATTTCCTAACAAGCACTGGCAAGAGTATTTTCGGTGCAATTTCAGTCAGTCATGCTTTGAGGAAAATGTTTTGAAGATCTGAAGTTTGTACCCTAAGTCTTGGTGAGCTTGGCTTCAGCTAAATGGCAAGATGGGTTTTAAAGGTGTGAGATACATTTTTTTTTTTAAAGAAGGGAAGACTACACTGAAAGGGCAAATGTCGGCAACACAAAAACAATCATGTTCAGATCAACATCTTATACTTTATAATACACTCACAAATTTTTACACAAATTTCATGTTTACAAGTACAAAAAGGCAAAGAACCTCAAAGAATCGAAGTAACTGTATCGTCGACTACATTCAGTAGAGTTAATACTGTTTTCCCTGTTCTTCATCTTCTAAATCCAGAAGGGAACTGTGAATCCATCCCCCATGTGGACTCCGCTTTCAGAAGTTGGAGACTGGGTGTAGTTCTGCACACGTCTGGGTTTCAACAGAGCTGAACTGAGATTCCATCGTGTTCCAGGCCAGATCGGCCAGAAGAAAGTCATCCATTGCTGTCTGAGTTTCATTGCTGGTGAAGAATAAGCTCCCCAAAGTTTCGAAGCCAGAATTCATGGTCTGTGTTTCGGCAGTGTTCAACTGAACTTTGCTTTCCAGGGCAGGCAGGTTTTTAGCAGTGGAGATTCCGTCAGTCTGGGTCTCTGTGTCAGATGAATCAGTACTCATGGAAAAGCTAGAGTGTTTCAGGATACTTCCCAGTGGCAGACGGGGGCTACTGTCTAAAAAGAAGTTCAGGTCTGTCTGTGTCTGCGTGTCAAACATCTCAAGGCCTAAGAAGCTAGAATTCCCCCTACAACTGTAGGCCTGGGCAGAAGGGTCTGCAAGGAAGAAGTCAGTTTGGGTTTCTATGTCCAGCGACTCCAAGACTGGCTCAGTGGTCATGGTGCTAAGCTCACTCTCCTCGGTTTGTGTCTGTATATTTGAGGCTGAAAAGAACTCTTCGATATCAAAATCAATTGCAGGATTCTGGGTTGGGCCAGATGGGAGCTGGGTGTCAGGTCCAGTATTTGTGTCAGACAAAAGACTACGATTGTCCAGCGTCTGACCAGGTAGGTTACTTGACAAGATATTTTCTAGATCACTTAATAAATCCATGGTTTGGGTCTGATTATCTGTCATGTTCTGTGACGAAAGCATACTATTTGGTGCATTGAAGTTTATAATTGGGGTGGATTTCTCAATATCTTGAGTTAAAGTTTTAGGGTGGTTCTGAGGTAACAAGTCATGAGTTACAGTCTCTGCTACTAAGCCGCTGCTTATCATGTTGTCTGTAGACACACCGTATGATGAATGGACACTCTCAAAAATGTCTCCACACACTACAGCTTGGTCCATCTGTACTCGGTCCTCTGCTGGACTTTGCATTCCGCTGGTCTGAGTTTCTCTGGAGATCCCACCTGGCTGGAAACTGGCATCTATAAATGCATCAGTCTGAGCAGCGATGGATGAGGTTACCTTAGAACTGGGCAAAAAAGTCTGAGTTTGAACACTAATGGGAAGGGAAACCTGGGAACCAAATGTCAAATCAGTTTGCGAACAGGACGACACAGAGGAGTCAGGGCTGGCCCACTGTGCAGACGGCATGAACTGTGGTGTGGTGTAGGACAGGTCTGTCTGTACATTGATGGAAGAAATGCTGTTCTTTTGACAAGTGTTCCCAAGTTCTTGTAATGGGCTAAATGGATTTTTACCCAAGTTCACTTGAATACCTGTGCTAATCGGCTCAACAGCAACAGGATTGACAACTTTTGAAAGAGGGAGGCTCTCCTTGAGAGAGCAGGCCTCCGAATCCAGGCCGAGGATCAGGGTTCCAATGGACAAGGGCAGTAAGTGCACGGCCCCGGGGGCAGACCCCTGCTGGTCGACACCCAACACCACAGGTTGGGCCGAGGAGTCGGCTGCAGGCACGAAGACGGGCACAGGAGAAAACTGCATGACGGGGAGTTTAACCAAAGCCACTTTGGGCTTTGGTAAAAGCAACTTCTGAGGGTACCTTGGAGCTGCTGGAAGAGTCTGCTGTTTGGCATTAGAGCTACAAGAGTCTTCAAAGGAAGCCACCAGCTTTATTTCTGAAGTTTCTAGTTCTGGAGCATCTGGTCGTGGAATTGGTTGGTTGCTCAGTGATTCAGTGGTTTTCCTGGACAGCTTCTGGCTGTGCAGGCAGTTTTCCATTTTCCTTTTCTTACTAGGTGGATCCCTGAAAGCAATGGCAGAGTGAAAAAGAGAAAAGTGATTTTAAACTGCAGCTTTCTTCATCAACCCTGGCACTGTGTCTTCACTTGTAAGCTCTATGTCTCACATCTACAGCAGGAGTCAGATTCAGCTCAGTGAAAAGAAAGCCCCTTTGTAACCTAGCCTATTACACAGAAGTTCAGAAACATGCAAACAGGGAAGGAGGAAGCACACCTTCTTTGGGTAAAGCTCTAAGTACTAGAGCTCAACTTAGATCCGTAAGCATCAGGAAGCTAACATATAATGCAGTGATGATCATTTCTAAAATAGGAAGCTATTAATCCAAATATAAATTTGACCTTTCAAATGAAGCGGTTTCATGATTTAAAAAACTCTCCAACAATCCAGTATCCCTCTAATAGAAAATGATGAACGTTTTGGAAGAATTGAAAACTCAGTAGGGGCTTCCCTGGTGGGCCAGTGGTTAAGAATCCAGCTCCAATGCAAATGACACAGATTTGATCCCTGGTCCAAGGAGATCCTGCCTGTGGTGGACCAACCAAGCCCATACCCCGCAACTACTGCAGCCTGTGCTCCACAGCAAGAGAAGCCGCCACGTGAGAAGCCATGGCATCGCACACAAGAGCAGCCCCCGCTCACTGCAACTAGAGAAAGCCCATGCAGCAATCAAGACCCAGAAGAGCCAAAAATAAATAAATCTTTAAGAAAGCCCAGTAAGTTTTCAATTGGGAATAATAAGGGACCTTTAAAAGGACTTGGTGGAAGAGTAAGGAGAACAACTGGGTCAAGTAGACGTGGATTATTCACTAGTACTGCTGCCATTTCCAAAAGTCCCCTTCTTCTCGCCTCATCTTTTCTCCACCATTCCTCCTTTCTCCTCAGGCTAACGGCTCTCTAGGAAGTGTCGCCTGAAGCTCTCCCCACAGCTGCTGGCTCTGGGGCCACCCCCCCTCCCCTGTACCTGTGTTCTGCAGGGATCTCATGGCCAGTTCGGTAGATGTGGGACTGTAACGCAGTCCTGCTGGCATAGGGACAGCCACACGTGCACTGGAAGGTCTTGCCACAATCCTCTGCATGTCTTTTCAAGTCCCACTCAGTGCCATACGAATTGCTGCACTTACTACATTTATGCTTCTTTTCAGCATGCATTTTCATAAAGTGCTAGGAAGAACACAAAAGGACCAAAATGAAAATCTGCAACTGCTCAAAACCTTTCAAAAGTCATCAACATACCCCAAATAACAATGATTTTACATGATAAAATATAGCTGTGCAAATCAAAACAATGTAAAAGCAGGCAAGCTGCCCTTTATCATAAGCTTCATCTTTGTGAAAAGTTGAGACTGTTTTGGAAACAATCCGTGGTATCCACCCCCCAGGTTCTGATTTACAAGTAAGTGCTGCAAAAAGAACAAGTCTTAAGAGTGCTTCTCTCAGGACGCCCTCCAGCAAACCCTCAGGGTAGTGTTTCAGTTTCTTCCAGTCCAGAATCACCACCTTCCCCACTGACTGGGTCCCTCCCTCCTCTCTAAGGGAGCTGCTTCTGAAATTCTTTTCCTACAGTTTCTTACTCCCTTGGGAGAACATCTCCCTATGCCTCTGCTCCTCTGACCTTGAAAGATTCACACCAGAGATCTGGAAGCACACCCAATTTATCATACTTTGCTGACCTGGTCTCTCCAAATCCACTCTGGACATCTTCCCCACCGCCCGCCCCCCAGGACCAGCCAGCCTTTACTCACAACCCACTCATTTTTCTCCAAATGAGAGACTTGGGTGTCCGTCCTTATAAGCAGCTTTCTGCTCAATTCTCTTGGAATGATTGTAAGTAATTAGAATGCATTGGGTTTATGACATCTGCATTTCATCCCTAGAGAAGTATATAGTTAAGACAAGTAAAATACCTGTTTTACGAGAGAAAATTGAGAAAATGGTCTGTCAGGGCCTCTAGGGCATCCTTCAATTGGACAACAGTAGAATTTCGGTACAGTTTTCAAATCTTTTCTTATTGTTGGATTTACTATGCCATCCTGCAAAAGAAAAATGAAATAATTATCTTAAAAAAAACCATCAGAATGAGTTGGGAGTGATAATAAGGAAGGACTAAAGATGTGCACAGGGATCTTTATAGAGTGATGAAAACATTCTCAAGTTTGGGATTGCAGTGATAGTTGCAGAACTGTACATCTACTTAAAAATAAATGAATTACTCACTTAAAATGGGTAAATTTTATCATGCGTAAACTATAACTTAATACATGTTAAAATTTTTCAAAACAAGATAAAAAACAACTATGTTGTTTAAAAATCTTCTATCCATTTCTTTAACATTCCTTCTAGATTTAAAAATCTCTGTCCTTAACCCAATGTCTCTAATTCTAAGACTTTCTCAGGCTCAAGACTTAGTGTCATCCTTAAGTCTTCCCTTCTTTTTTATCTCGTCCCCACTGAATTAGGGTGAGCCTCTGGAAGAAACCTCCTTTGACTATGATTTAGGTCTTCCTGATAAAGAGCACAGTGACTTTCTCTGATCACCACTATGTCCCCCTAACAGAGCTAAAGCTAGCTGACACAGCTCTTTTATGGCAGCATGAATACAGGCACCAGGCTCTAATTTGAAATTTAGTAATCATTATAATGGCCAGCACTAACATAGATTTTACTACTGTGCCAGGCATTGCTGTAAGCGCTTCACATATATATATTAACTCATCCTAGTTATCCTTTGTTATTAAGTATGTGACTGACTTTTTGACTGGGGTTTTTAAAATAACTAGTGAGTTAATTTAGCTTGAAGTACTATCTTATTGCCCTTGATGAACCCACATACGTCAGGAGTGAAACACCTACGGCCTCCTGTATAATTCTTAACTGGCCACCCCCAGCTGGCCCCAGAGGAAGGTGTGTGGGGGGTTGGAGTGATGAAGGACCTCTCTATGGGTCACTGGAAACAACCAGACACATGTTCAGGCCGCAGCTGCTGCAGCAGCACCTGGATGTTTTAGTCCTTAGGTGCTGTGATGAGAAAGGATTCAGTACTTCTGGAACGTGCCACCTCCTCTACCATCAGTGTGTACCTAGGCAGGAAATGAACAACCATGTGGCCTTTAAGACTCCCTTTGGTTTAACAATCTCTGTAGATGATCCTAATGTGTAGCTGAGCTTAAGAACCATGGTGCAGTGGTTAAACCCAGGGATTCTGGAAACATGGACTGCTGTAGTTTGAATTCTCTGCTGTAGTTTGAATTGCTCCTTTCCTTTGACCTTGAAAAACTTAACTGTCTTGGTTTCCTTATCTGTGAAGTAGGCAGGATCATAGGACCTACTGCAGGGTTGTGCTGAGTACTCAGTTAATTAGTTAACAGTATTACAGAACGGCACTTGTCACATAATCCCCCAATGGCTCAGCAGGTGAAGAATCCACCTGCAATGCAGGATCAATCCCTGGTTGGGAAGATTCCCTGGAGGAGAAGTACTCCACTCCAGTATTCTTGCCTGGAAAATCCTGTGGACAAAGGAGTCTGGTGGGCTACAGTCCATGGGTCCCAAAGAGTCAGACATGACTGAGCAACTAAGGCTATCTCATAATCACTCCATTATTATACCTACTAGTTATCTGCTGTGGAGATTTTTGTTGCTTCTCTTGCTTTCTGCCAACCAACTTAGTGCCAATAAGCGAATCTAAACTCATACTATACATTAAATACTGTTTTTGTGGCAACAGAAATAAAAGCAAAGTAAACAGATCAGATTGAATCAAACTTACATGCTTTTGCACAGCAAAGGAAACCATAATAAAACGAAAAAACAACCTGTGGAATGGGAGAAAATATTTGCAACGATGCAACATAGAAGGGTTTAATGTCTAAAACATACAAACAGCTCATATAACTCAACAACAAAAAACAAACGACCCATTCAAAAAACAGGTCGAAGAACTAAATAGACATTTCTCCAAAGAAGACATACATATGGCCAATAAGCACATGAAACATTACTCAACATCGCTACTTATTAGAGAAATGCTAATCAAAACTACAGTGAACTACCACTTCACATCAGTCAGAATGGCCATCATGAAAGTCTACAAATAATAAACACTGAAGAGGTGTGGAGAAAAGGGAACCCTCCTAACTGTTGCTGGGAATGTAAGTTGGTGCAGCCACTATGGAAAATGGTATGAGGTTCCTCAGAAAACTAAAAATAGAGCTGCCATATGATCCAGCAATCCCACTCCTGGGCATATATCCAGATAAAACTATAATTCAAAAAGATACAGGCACCGTTATATTCATAACAGTGCTATTCACAATAGCCAAGACATGGAAACAACCCAAATGTCCATCAACAGATGAATGGATAAAGATGATGTGCTGTATACACATACAACAGAGTACAACTCAGCCATAAAAAAGAATGAAATGACGCTACTGGCAGCAACATGGATGGAACTAGAAATTATCATACTAAGTGAAGTAAGTCAAGAGAAAGACAACTACCAAATGCTATCACTTATATGTGAAATCTGAAATCTGACACACAATAATTTATCTATGAAACAGAAATGGACTCACAGATACAGAGAATAGACTTGTGGCAGCCAAGGAGGAGGAGTGCTGGGGGAGGGACAGACAGAGTTTGGGGTTAGCAGATTCTAACTACTATATATAGAATATACAGACAAGGTTCTACTGTATACTCCAGGGAACTATATTCAATACCTGGTGATAAACCATAACAGAAAAAAATATATAAAAAAGAAGGTATATATATGTAAAACTGAATCACTTTGCTGTGAACATAACATTATAAATCAACTATACTTCAATTTAAAAACGAAAATCTACGGACTCATCTTAAAAGAAAATATTATACTTGTGAAAGTCTGACTGGAATGCTGCTTTTGTTTAAAAAAAGGACATCTGCTAGGCTCAAATGACACTGTCATCAAACTCATCCCATTCACCAAGTTATCTTTTTTAAAGGAAATACATTTTAAACTTATATTAAAAAAATGAAATGTGGAGAAGATATTAAGAAAGACTCTAAAAGCCTTAATTCACTTAACCATTACCAAATTATTCTTAAGTTATATGACAAGGAGACGGCCCTCTTCTGTGTTTTAGCCTGTCAAATGTTCTATAAAACTCTGCTTACAGGGTCACCACGAAATTCATGCTCATTTCTAAAACATCCTCAATTTGCTTAGCAATCCTTTTATTACCCCTTTTCAAATTCCCTATCATGTTCTCATATACCTGTTCACTTCCCTTTTTAAAAAATTTAATAAAATTTATTTTTAAGAGTTGTGGAAAGTACAGAGTTCCCATACACTATATGCAGCCCCCATCCCACTCCAATATAGCCTGCTTCACTAGTAACATGTCTCAGCAGAATGGTACATTTGTTTACAATTGATAAAACTACACTGACACATCATTATGACCCAAAGCCTATAGATTATATTAGAATTCACTATTGGTGCTGCACGATCTATGGGTTCTGCCAAATGAATGATAGTGACGGCTATCCATTATTATAGTATCATACAGAGTGTATGCACTTCCCTACAACTCTGTGCTCCGCTACTCATGCTAGCTTTCCCTGTAAGCACTGGCAACCACTGACTGGCCCCTGGTCTCTCTCTGGAGCTGAAATGTCGTTGTCTGGGCGCATCACTGTTATTTACTGATCCACCTCCTGAAGGACATCTTGGCTGCTTCCAAGTTTTGCTAGCTATTCTTTTATGATGTCTCCTACCAACACCTCATCTTTCCTTTCTCACTGCCACCATCAATAGTTCAAGTATTCCTGACTTTCTGTTTGGACTTTGTCTCTAGCCTAATTTCTGAACCTTCAATTTTCTTTTCTTTCACATGTTGCCAAATTCACCTTTCTAAAATATAGCTCTGATTATAACATTACCTCACTCAAACATATTCGAGGGCACTCCAATACTGCTCAAGTGCAAATTCTTCTAGCCACTGGGACATCCAAAGTCCTGACTAAACAGCTTCAAACTACACATCTTTTCTGTCATTTCTCTGTTACATCTAATGGAACTACTTAACATTCCCCAAATATTTTCAAGAGGAGGAATATATGTTTGCTGCACTTAGGAATCTTTTAAGGAGTAAATGTTTATGGTCACCTAAGTCAAAGTTGTATCACACACCAGGATGAGACACTAAAGGCAGCCATACTGATGGCAACATCTTGCTGTTGTCATTACACGTGTGGCAACAACCTGGCGCTGTTCAGTTTTACCGCATTCTTAGGGCCAATTCCTCCGTCCATCCCAACACCACCTCTCTACCCCAGCTCCTGACCTTCTGCCCATCCCTGTTTAGAGACAATAAGCTCTGAGATGAGAACAGGGGAGAAAAGAAATGGTGATGGCACAGTAAAATATGAACTGCAGTAAAAAGTGATATTTTCGTTCTTAAGTGCTATATACATTCTAGAATGAAACTTAGGAGACTTTTTTTTTTTTAACTTTACCTTCTATGCATAACTGAAAAAAATATACAGGGAATACTTCATGTTTTGTGTACTTTTTTGGGTACCTATTTATAAAATCTTTTAAATAAAAGAATTTGAAAAATAACTTATGACAGGAAACAACTAAAAAACAAGATGGAGAAAAATAAAGAGAAGAAAAGCAAGAGGAAGGACCCCGCTGAAGAAGAGAGGATAAAAGCAAAGAATTGTGGGAACTGTGGCAAAAACTGGGGGAAAAAAAAGGCACTGTAGCTTCTCAAGCACCTCTCTGCATTCACAGAAATATATCCAAGAAGAAAAATAGCTTGCTCTGTTATTGTAAATTTAAAATTAGAAGTCTTTGTACAATATGATCTGGAGCAACTTGGAATCTTTCCTTTAAGAAAAAAAAAGAAAAAATTGCTGGCAAATCATTAAAAATAAACCCTGAACTGAACATAACATAAAATCCACTACACCATGCTTTAAAAATATGTGTTGCTGGATAAGATGTTCTTTAATGGTCCTTGTGTCCCTTTCACTATTTTCAAACATGAGGGATAAAAGAATCAAGAAATGCTCATCTACTCCTACTCTTCTTTTCCCTGAATCACCAGGAACCCACATAAAATCACAAGGTATTATGTACCTTACAACTTACAACTCTATCTCGACTTTTATCCATCATCATTCAGAAGAACTTGTTAATCATAAGGGAATATGTGAGTAAGGGCAGGATACCTTTTGAAGAAAGGTTAGAATAAAAGAAGAATCCCACAGCAACCAATGGGGAAGGGAAGAAAAGATGATCATAATCTAGGAGGAAAAAAACAAACCAGGAAAGAAAAAAAGCTAAAACAAACTAGGAAAGAAAAAAGAAAAGTAGGAAAGAAACTAGAATTATGTAAGTAGCTGTAATCAACAGAAGAAAGGGAAAGTCTCCATGGAACACTATGCATATCTCCAAGCAAACATATTCAGGCTTCCGGGCCAACAGGGAGCTCCCCATCAGCTCTGTCCTTAGGCCTCTTTCCCCTACCCCCCCCAACACTTGGAGATCATCAAGTGTCAAGGACAGTGTTTGAACTCAAGAGCCTGCTACTCTGGCTCCTAAGTGTAGATTCACCACACTGGGCAACACTATGCAGATATGGCTGTTTTGTCACATAGGCCACCTCTATTAAAAAAAAAAAGAACCGCTTTCCACCAAGACAGCAGATGTTCAGGGGCTACATGATTAGAAAGACAACAAGGAAGCAACGTGAGCCTGTGTGACAAGAAAGACAGACGATGGTTCAGGGTGGTTTCTCCAATTTCCCCTGAAACAGGTCTCTCTGGTGACCTAGAAAGGAAACTCAGGAGAGTCCATTTTGGGGTTGTTCAATTTTCAGTTCAGAAAGAGATCGTGAATGTAGTGTGCTGTCTTCAGACAAGAGAAATTTGAGAAATGACTAGAACTAGAAGAATGGCTTCACACAGATTCTAAGCAGGAGAGGCTACTGATACTCAGCTGCGCTAAAGTTCAAGTAAAGACCTGACTGTCAAAATCTGCACTTGCCTCAAACATATTCCTTCTTCTTAGTCTACTGTATGCTCAGAATTGGTATCGCCAGAATTCCTGAACTTTATATATTTTAAAAACACAATTAGAAATAAACTTATTCAAGTTAGGCTTCAGCAGTATGTGAACTGAGAACTTCCAGATAAACAAGCTGGATTTAGAAAAGGCAGAGGAATCAGAGATCAAACTGCCAACATACGCTGTATCATAGAAAACGCAAAGGGAGTTAAAAAAAAAATCTCCTTCTGCTTCACTGACTACGCTAAAGCCTTTAACTGTGTGGGTTACAACAAACTGTGGAATACTCTTAATGAGATGGGAATACCAGACCACATTACCTGCCTCCTGAGAAACCTGCATGCAGGACAAGAAGCAACAGTTAGAAGTGGACATGGAACAATGGACTGGTTCCAAATTGGGAAAGGAGTACATCAAGGCTATATATTGTCACCCTGCTTATTTAACTTACATGCAGAGAACATCATGAGAAATGCTGGGCTGGATGAATCACAAGCTAGAATAAAGATTGCTGGGAGAAATATCAACAACCTCAGATAATGCAGATGATACCACTTTAGTGGGACAAAGTGAAGAGGAACTAAAGAGCCTCTTGATGAAGGTGAAAGAGGAGAGTGAAAAAGCTGGCTTAAAACTCAACATTCAAAAAATGAAGATCATGGCATCCGGCCCCACCACTTCATGGCAAATAGATGGGGAAACAATGGAGACAGTGTCAGATTTCATTTTCATGGGCTCCAAAATCACTGCAGAAGGTGACTGCAGCCATGGAATCAAAAGACGCTTACTCCTTGGAAGAATAGCTAGGACAAACCTAGAGAGTGTACTAAAAAGCAGAGACATCATTTTGCTGACAAAGGTCCGTATAAGTCAAGGCTATGGTTTTTCCAGTAGTCATCTATGGATGTGAGAGTTGGTCCATAAGAAAAGCTGAGCGCAGAAGAATTGATGCTTTTGAACTTTGGTGTTGGAGAAGACTCTCCAGAGTCCCTTGGACAGCAAGGAAATCAAACCAATCAATCCAAAAGGAAACCAATCCTGAATATTCATTGGAAGGGCTGGTGCTGAAGCTGAAGTTTCAGTACTTCAGCCATCTGATGCGAAGAGCCAACTAACTGGAAAAGACCTTGATGCTGGGTAAGATTGAGGGCTAGAGGAGAAGGGGATGACATAGGATAAGATGGTTGAATGGTATCACTGACTCAATGGACATAAGTTTGAGAGCTTGTTTGGAGGTTCTAGCAGGGGAGCGCAGCTACTCCTATACCCTTGACCGAAGACCGGTCCTCCTCTATCGGGGATGGTCGTCCTCTTCGACCGAGCGCGCAGCTTCGGGAGGGACGCACATGGAGCGGTGAGGGAGGAAGGGGACACCCGCCTAGCCAGCCAGATCAGCCGAATCAACCCTGGCAATCAATGGGGTGACAGATGTCGCAACCAGATCGCCCTCACATCCTGGACATGAGTTTGAGTAAACTCAGGGAGATAGTGAAGGACAGTGAAGCTTGGAGTGCCGCAGTTCAAGGGGTTGCAAAAAGACAGGACAAAGCAAATGAACAATTGTATACTACCAAACCAATCCTGAGAAGTATTGATATATGGTATCTTTTGCTTAAAAGATGCTTCACAAGGTCTGGACAGATATAGCTCCTGTCAGCAGTTCCACAAAAAACAACAATATAAACGTGTTAAAAAGTGCTTGCCAGAATGATGTTCAGGCCAACAACTGCAAAGAGAGTCCTCATCAGACTGGCCACTTCTGTTGTGCTTAGAGATGTAATGTCTGCCTTAGTAATTAATCAGTGAGGGGATGATCTGAAGGTGGGTGATGGCTGTTACATATGAGCTCAAGAGAACACAGGAATCAGGCTGCAGAATTCCTACAAATACAGTTCATCCACTCAACTTAAAATATGATTAAGGAAGGGAAGTGTTTAATTAAAATTTAGTATGAAGGAGAAAACAGGAGAATGACCATTCCCAAAGTTACTGCACTTGTGTGTGGAAGCAACCCAGAACTATCATGGAAAATTGCAGTTCCACCTGCAGGGAAAATTACAGACCCACCTCCACAGTACATTTCCTGATTGAGCTCCCTCATCTTCCTAAGAACACTGCTGCCTCTCTAATCAGCTGGAGCTGGAAGTGGACAGCCCTTCATGGTCATCATATCTGCCCTACTATAGAAGACAACCTCAAGCTTTCTGTTAAATTCTTATCAGAAGTCTGATTCTAACAACATTCCTGAGGAAGCTTTACCTGAAGGGCAGACATACCATGCAGGAGGCCAGGTGATTTAAACTTGCTCCTCAATCAAGTCAGACCACCAGAAGCTACATACTCACAATGTAGGTTCAATGACACACTTTGAAATTACGTTCTAAGCCACTGCTGGCTTAGAGACTTTAAGAAGTGGTGGAAGGAAATGTCCTATTGTAATGATTGAGAAATTATGATTTAAGAGGTATGGGGTGGGGCTGGACCGCTGAGTTTTTAATAAGCACTCCACAGACGTGCACTTCGGGTTGAAAAAAGAATCACCTCTCCATTTTATTTAAGGTGGAATGGACTTTGAGGATTATTGTCCTGTAATTATATATGAGGTCCCCTCTTAAGATCCTCGGGCGAGACTTCCCTTAGGTCTCATTCCTGAGCAAAGCTGATATTACCAACACGGTAGAACTTGTTGCCAAATCTGCAGCTCCCTGCTGAAGACTGGGCAGCACCCAAAGGCCCGAAGGAGGTGCTTGTGGGTGTGGTGCAAAGAGCGCCGGCATAGAGCCGAGTCCGCGTTTAAAGCCCAGCACTACGCGGGCAGCGTCACCGGTTTCTCTGCAACAACAGGACGGAGGTGCCGTGAGAGCTCCCGGCATGACCATGAGAAACATCCGGGCCGCCGCCGCCGCCGCCGCCGCGTGCGCGCCGGTGGTCCCGCGGGTCGGAGCCAGACAGCCTGGCGCGTGACACAAGGCTTTCCCCTCGCCGTGCCCTCCCGCGTCCGGGCTTCCACTCTCCCTGCCGGGACCCCCCTTGGCGGTCCGGCCCGTTCCGAGGGCCGCGGTGGCCCCCACCCCCGCCGCCCGCGTCAGACGCTCGGTGGCGCCAGGCCCCGGGAGGCGCGGCCCGCGGCGGGCTCACCTGCAGGCGGTGGCTCTTGACCAGGTGCATGTTGAGCGCGGGGCTGTTGGGCAGGATCTTGCCGCAGCCGCGCACCGTGCACAGGATGTTGGTCCGCACGGCCCGGGACAGCTCGCTCACCGACGGCTGGATGAGCTCCCGGGCCGGCGGCGTCGAACCCGCGGGCTGCTGCCTCGCCGCCGGCGGTCGCGGCCGGCTGCCTCTCAGCCTCCCAGGGGGCACCCACGGGCCCGAGGCGGCGGCGGCTCCCCTCGCGGCCGCCTGGACGGCCGGGGCGCCCGAGGCGAGAGCCGCGGGATCCGCCGCCGCCGCCTCAGAGGCCGCCATGGCTCTCGCGCCGCGGCCGGACCAAGCCAGCCAACCCCGCCTCCCGCCGCAGCGACTTCCGGCAGGGGGCGGGGCCTTATTAGCATCCGGCGGGGCCCGGGCGGCGGCGCCCCCTGCTGGAGGCGTAGGGCGCGTCAGCGGTGGAGCGCTGCCAGGTGAGGAGGGCGGGCCGGGTGTAAAACTTCACAGGGGGTCCTGGGGACAGGTAGGACGTGTAGGCCCCTCTGAGCGTCATTCGCCTTCCTAGAAATCTGAACCTCGGGCAAAAGTTGGATACAAGAGAAAGCAATGGGCTCGGGAACTTTACTTCCCAAAGATTAGAAATAAACCAGGTGTTCAAGAGCAGCAGAGGCCGAACTTTGTTAATTACAATGATCTGTTTATCAGACACTGGGAAACGCACTTTTCATCCAGTATCTCATTTTGTCCTCGAAACAGCCCTCGCGGGTACGTACTATGAATTCTTCCTCATCTGCAGAGAGGCAAATAACTAGCCTGAGGTCACATTATACAAAAAAAAGAACTGTTATAATTGACCTAGTTAATCATTTTAGAGAGGGTAGATTTAGTTGCCTGTATTTTATTTTAACTGGTGAAATCTAATTACTATTTGGGAGACAGTGTAGCTCAGGGCAGGGTTCCAAAAACGAAGTAGGAAGAGGGACCAGATAGGTCAAGTCAATGAATGTAGGAGGCCAGGTGTAGGTAAAAGGGAGGGGTGAGGACCCCAGGGAAATGAGATCTAGCCTAATCGGGGCAGCTGCTACCAGGCTTTGGTATTGCCATGTTTATTTTTCAAGATTTTTATGTGAAAAATCCCAACTTTTTAATATATTAGCAGCTCTGTTTGTATTCTACTGCTGCAATATGCAATAACAAGCTACCACACACCTGGTGACCTGAAACAGTTTGTCACTCACAGTTCTGGAGGTCAGAAGCCTGAAATAAGTCTACTAGGTGAAGATCAAGGTGTGGGCCTGGCTGCATTTCTTCTGGAGGCTCTATGGAAGAATCTTGTTTACTTGCCTTGTCCAGCTTCTCAGTCATTAATGATGAGTCACGTCCTCTTCACATCACTCTGATTTCTTCAGTACTCACGTGTCCTTCTGCTCTCTTCTATTCCTCTTCCAACTTTTGAGGACCTAGTGATTACATTGGGTCCTTCCAGGAAACTTGGGATAACTTCCCCATCTGCAAAGTAACAGGTTTATATATTCCAGGGACTAGGATATGGACATCTTTGAGATGGGTACTGTTTTGCCCACCAGAGTAACTAATTCTGATTTTTAAAGTATTGTGTGCCAAAAAACCCCCACGTGTGAGACAGCATCCATAAGCCTTTTCTTTCTTCCAGCTCGGTGTCCAAGAGGGCAGACTCAAGTCTGACTGCCTGGGTTAGTTAGTTAGTTAGTCGTTCAGTTGTGTCCGACTCTTTGTGACCCCATGGACTGTAGCCTGCCAGGCTCCTCTGTCCATGGAATTCTCCAGGCAAGAGTACTGGAGTGGGTTGCCATTTCCTTCCCCAGGGGATCTTCCTGACCCAGGGATCAAACCCAGGGCTCCTGCACTGCAGGCAGATTCTTTACCACTGAGCCGCCGGGGAAGCCCAATGGTAATCTTACCTCTAGTTTTATTTTGTCCTCCTGTTTCTTTTCCCGTCCTTCATTTGCCCAGATTTCCTCTTTTAATTCTATCATAATTGTAACATATGTTGTTTTAACACCAAATCCTTTGTGGATCAAGATAAGGATTATGTTTTAAAGTGTTATTATAAAAGGACATGTGATTTAGTGATGATCACCAAAGGATTTTCACCAAAAGTGACTGATGTACCAGTTTTTAAATATCTTTATTTACAAATTGATATATTATCGGTCAGTTTGAATGCCATATGTGTGATAAAATAGATTATGAGAAATATCATATTTACAATGAAATCATTATTTTATATAACTGAATCACCTAGTAGGCTACCTCCTGCAATAATAACTTAATGGGCCTAATTCTGCCCTTTGAATGGGCTAATTTCATGCTTCTCTTAGAAAATTTTGAGTTCGGTATAGTTTCTTGGTGCTTAAGAGAAAATCCCTGGGAACCAGCAAATGGAACCAGACCTCTCTGGGACTGAGAGACAGGAGTGAGAGAAAAGACATCCTGTCACATCTTAGTCCCGCGACTGCTATGCTTTGCAGTAGAAGGAAAGAATCAGTCCCAGGAATTACATTGAACATTTCCAAATCTTCAATATCAAGGATGAATTTCTAAAACAAGTTTTGTAGACAGAAGCTCTCCAGCTAGTCATTAACTAAAATTCATATGCAATACAGTCAAGGATGCTGTGCTTACAAAAACCACATATAGCTTATTTATCTCTAATTTTAAAATAATTCTTTCTCTTATTGGGTATGCAAGTGAGCAGTGGAGAAAGTGGTGCATCTGCAATACCTGAAATTTAAAAAAAAAAAGAAAAACATCAGTTTAAAAATGGCCAAGATTAGAGGGTGGATCATGGACCCTCGTTAAGTGAAACAGAATATTTTCAAAACGAGGCATGACAGAATAGCAGCCTGGAGCCATGAGAAAGTTGAGAGGCAATTAGTCAGCATAGAGGGTCAAATGTAGTGTGTTGTTAATTCCCCCTGGTGAAATAAGCTGACCACTTACCGGCTGGGGCCAGGGATTTTAGTGCTTCCAGAAGATGAGGGCTAGAGAACTTTACCAGGCACCGGAGGGGCTCTTCTCTCTCAGCCAGGATGCCCCCATTTAAGTCACTTTTGAATTTCGTTTCAAGCTGTCATCAGATATATTTATAAATGACTATTAAATACAAATATTTTGCAATGGCAAAATATAAAGAGACACGATTATGTGTTTCACTAATTCTTGTTATCAAGAAACATAGGGATGAATGGGAGTGGGGACCATTTAAATTGCTAATTGCAAACACTGGGGGAAACCAGGATATCAACAATATTGCACACAAAATGCCGAGTGTGCACTCATGAGATCCTGCCTCAGGATGTCCTTTACTTGAGCATTAGGTTTACATTCTTAATGGAAAATGAGCACTATTTTTTGTAATCTGTCATTTCAGTGTAAAAAATCTCATGTGTTTTGGGTCACTACCACAATTTAACTTATTATAGAAAATTTAAGAAACATACAGAAGGAGCACAGTGTAAGGAGTCCCCCTGTACATATCACCCAGCTGAAACCATCACCAGTCTTTTTCCATCTATTACCCCACCTCCTGTTCCCTACTGCCCATATCCACTGGATTATTTTGAAGCAAATCCAAGACACCATAGTATCCTGCTTGTAAATATATTGATATCTACCTAAAAAGGATTTTTTCTAAACTCCACCACCAAAACATTAGCACACCTAAGAAAATTAATAACAGTTCCTCATATCATCAAATATCCAAGTATTGCTACTTCAATAGGTACTTGGCTCTTAGATTCTATCTTAAGCTTTTTTCTTTTTGCTTAAAATGATTCTTAAAATTTAGAGGCAGGATGCTGAAGTATTCATGCATGAAACAATGCAGAGGGTGAGTAATGTCTGCAGCTAATTCAAATGGTTCAGAACAAAGAAAGAGAAAAGAAAGCAAACGTGGCAAAATGTTAACAATGAGTGCATTTTGAAGCAAAGGGGAAATGGATGTTCACTGAGGTATTCATGCATGTTTCCTGAAGGTTTGACATTTTTCAAAACAGAAGAGGTAGGGAAAAATTAGTAGCAGGTATGAATAAATGTGTACCTTGACTTATAGAATAGACACATTCTCAGATGTGTATAAAGGAAGTTTTGTGTATTAAATGTTATGTGTCCTAGATCAGCAGTTCTCTATGCAGAATCAGCTTGTGGGCTTGTGAAAACAGATGGTTGGGACCCACCTCCAGAGTCCCCTATCCAGTAGGATTACGGCAGGCCAAGAACCTGCATTTCTTACCCATTCCCAGGTGATGGTGATGCTGCTGGCCCAGAGACCATACTTGGAGAATGATTGTCTTAGGATATATTTAAAAGAACTGGGTTAAAACCTGCCATTCAGGGACCTTAACTTGAAAGGTGTCAAATCAACTTTTTCCACAAAAAACAAACCAAACCAAACAGGTGTTGGGCCTAACTAAGCAGATCACTGGTAGATTTCAAGTGTGGCCTGTAGCTGCAGAAAATTCTAAGCAGGAAGAATTTTATTGGAAGGTTTGAAGGGAGGAGAGTGTTAAGAATATGAACATGAGTATTAGATTAGGGTGGTCATGATACAAATCTTGAATTTTGCTAATGGTGGCCAAGGGCTTGCCCCCCACCTGGCTTTCCTGGTGGGCACTGACTCACTTCTGGAATGAGCCAGGTTTGCAGGCTACTGTTTTTTTCCCTATGTGATGCCAACTGGGCTATATAATGACTGATTTCTTCAATCTTTTGTCCAATTAGTATTTATGAGCACTGACCATGTACAAACACTGTTCTAGGTGTGGATGGGCTAGAAGGATACAATTTTTTTTTTCCCTCAAAAATACAGATCACAGCTGGTTACACATAACTAGATTAATATAAAAGGTGAAATGAAAAGGCAAATTCAAAATTTCCAAAGGTTGTCCTTTGCAATAGAGGAACTTACTAAATACGATAAAGAAGTCTATTTTAACTCATAAATTATACAAAATTAAAGTGATGAATGACATAAGTTTCTTTGAATTGTTTTCCACTTGAAACTTTAGTTCTTTTTAAAAAATACTGATAACTTGTAGTTAGGTTATAGCGGCGTCCTACCTTATATTGTGCAAATTCTAGTCTTGGTTGAGGATAGTCTCCAAAAATTTCTTGAGTCACTTTCTGCACTCTCTCTTTTTCTACTTTGTTTTCATGAATGATCCTTGAATCCCCTATAGATGGAAGATTTCAAGAGAAACCAGCTGTTAGGAATATATTTCACCCACAAAGTATCATCCTTTCATTCCTAATCTTTCAACATGCTCGTATAATTTTGAAGTAACATTTACTGCTTTTTTACTTGATTGTAATAATTTCTTACAAAGTAGAAATTTAGAAATATAGGCTGATAAGAAGATAAAAATCACCCATAATCCTACCACACAAAGATAAATACTGTTAAAACATTTTAATACATTTGTCTAATCCCTTTTTTCAGTGAATAAAAAGATATGTATTTTAAAGGCTGGGTTTATAAAATATACACAATTTTGTACCCTGCTTTCTTTACTTAACATGAAATCAATAGCAGTTCCTGTGCCATTGGAAAGTCATGGTTTACTTCATGATGGCTGTACCATTTCATTTTACTGCTAAGTCACTGCCAAGAAAGAGGAACATTTCCATTTTTATAGTATATTATACCCCACCACTTGTTTTGAACTTTCTGATCCACATTATTAGTTTCATATTCTATTCTGTTGGGTTTTCTATGGATGGACTCATGTCAACTATGAATGATGAAATGGTCACGATTCTGATTACAGGCACACCACAGAAATAAGTGGGTGCAGTTCTATACCACTGCACTGAAGTGACTCACATGAGTTTTTTGGTTTCCCAGTGCATATGAAAGTTATGTTTATATCGTATTGTGGTCTATTACGTGTGCAACAGTATTATGTCTAAAAGGACAATATACATGGCTTAATTAGAAAGTACTTTATTGCTAAAAAAATGCTGACCATCATCTAAGCCTTCAGCAAGTTGTAATCTTTTACAATAGTAACATCAAAGATCACTGATTACCGTAACAAAAATGAAAAAGTCTGAAACATTGTGAGAAACTGTGACAGAGACACGACCCGAGCCAGTGCTACTGGAAAAATGGTGCCCACAGATTTGCTCAATACAGGGTGACCACAAACCTTCAATTTGTAAAAAGTGAAATACCCGCCAAGTGCAATAAAGTACTTGGGAAGCAATTTACTCAATGCATTAAGATCCCGGGCTCCAGGCTCAGATTCGGTTTTTCCTTCTGGCTTTGCTGATTCCTAGTTAAGTGATTCTGCTCAGCAAGTTACTAAACCTCTCTGAAACCCAGTTTTCTACCCCTCTTTTCTGATGAAAAGAGCTTGCTCATGGGACTGCTGCGAAGATTACGGAAATGATACATGTGAACACTTTAGTATGGTGCCTGGCACAGAAGAAATGCTCAGTTAAATTATTTAGTTTTTTTTTTTGGTTGTGATTATGACTAGATGCCATTCTAGCAAATTCTAAAGGAGACCTACATTAGCTTAGCTTCCCCACTTCAACAGAAATTTACTTTTCAGTTTTCTGAAAACAGGAGATACTTTTGAATCACAATCCTGGTACAGAAATGTTTTTTACTGGGTGAGAGAAATCTGAAAAGGAACGTCCTTCCAAATTTCAGTGTTTATCTTAAAATACACATACTATTTATATCTAGCCCAAGGCTTCTTTCTTGTAGAGATGTAGTAGAGTTGTGAGTTTCAAAGCTCTAGGAAAAAGAAAACAGGAAAAAGTGAATGCTTTCCTAATTTTATCACCTCAAAGTATAGATATTAATTGGTTTTAGTGCACAAAAGTATGGCAAATCTTATCTTTCATTTTTTCCAACATAGATATTTGAGGCCCTATGCAGACTGAGTTGAGCATTTCTCCTAAAGCGATACTGACAGAGACTGCCGGGGCCAGCAACAAGGCTGCTTTGTTTGAGGAACTCTGTACCTTGTTAACATAAAAGTGTATCTGGAAGAACTATAGCTGCTGAGCCAAAAGCTAGAGAAATCAAAGGCAGCCTTTACAATGTGATGCTGCAGTTTTATATTTATGTCTTTATAACTGTGAAAAAAAACCTCACGAACATTCCTTACAGAAAAATAACTTTCCTGCTGTAAGTCTAAATCTCCCAGACTCCTTCACTCACTTTCCCCCACTGAAGGCACTGTATTTATAATAAAGTGTTTGATGAGTTTTTCTAGAAACGCAACTGATCATAGCAGAACTGTTGATATTAATAGCAATTTGGTAGGAGCCTTGTAGGTAAGAGGGAAGGTGCTATGGGGGAAATCATTATCTAAATTTTTTTAAAAATTATTTTTAATTGGAGGATAATTGCTTTACAGTATTGTGTTGGTTTCTGCCATACATCAACATGAATCAGCCATAATCAGACATATTACATATGTCCCTTCCCTCCTGAGCCTCCCTCCCACCTCCCACCCACCCCACCTCTCCAGGTTGACAGAGCATCGGGTGTGAGCTACCTGCATCATGACAGCAAATTCCCATTGGCTACCTATTTTAGACATGGGAACATACATGTATGCAACTTCATAGTGTTAAGCTTGTTCTCCTTAAAGAGTAGCTTGCAGAAAGCCATCACTTCTTTCTACTTAGAACAGATGAAAATACGTAAGTAGAACATACCTAGGGGCTCGAAGATATACAGTCTTAACAATTCTATAGGAGTCTGAACATATGAGCACACAGATGCCATGCAGAGGGGAAAAAAAAACAAAAACCCTGAGCCTTGGAGCAAGGTCAGATCCATTATCATTAAAAGGAAAATAATACACTCAAACAATTTTTTATCTTATTAGGTTTTTTTTTTTTTGGTTTACTCCTAGTACACTAGACACACCTCATGAAGTTATGAGGAATTATGGTTATACCCGTTGTACCAAATTGGCCCCATATAATATGCCTTGATATTTGACCAGAAACATTTTTTATTTTTTTGACTCACGCAGCATGGCACGTGGGATCTTAGTTTCCTGACCAGGGATTGAACCCATGCCCACTGCTTTGGAAGTGAAGTCTTAACCACTGAACTGCTAGGGAAGTTCCACACTCAAATAATTTTTTTTTTTTTAACATTCAAATGCAGAGTTCATTTTATTGAAGCTCAGTTGAACAAATTACCATTAATTTGCCCCCAGTAAAATACAGTATTAAAAATGTTTCATGTTTGCCAAGTGAAAAGTAAATAGCTAAAAGGTGTTAATAAAACTTTTTAATTTATTTTTTTATTGAAGGATAATTGCTTTACAGAATTTTGTTGTTTTCTGTCAATACACTCAAATAATTTTGACAAATAAACAAACTGTGGGAATTCATAAACCAATGCTTCCTCTTTTACTTTTAATTCCTGTATCACTTGCTTGACTAGTGGGACAAAAAATTCTGCTTCTCTCTTGCATAGCAGAATAATATAATCAGCTTCAAAAGATAATGTAAAGTTACTCTGAAGAGAAAATAAATTCTGATTGGAATAGCTGATTAGGAAATAGGGGGCCTATAACATACACTCCAATGACCAACGGGCAGTATAAACACAATACAATTATGAAAAGATGAAAGTGAGGAATTATCTTATTTCCTATCATGTTTGCTGAAAATTTTCCACTTCAGGTACATCTGATGTGATCTCCTATTGTTGGAGGTAGACTTTCCCACCTGCTCAGCTTCTAAATTACACATGAAAGAGAAAATGGAGACTCAGCTTTAAATAGAGTCACTGATGGGCTCACCTGATTATACTGTTTAAAAACAATAGCCTTAAGAGAGTCCAGATACCGGCTTCTGAGGTCCATTTTCACAATCTGATGGTGTTTGCTAGCAACTGTCAGTGCCTTGAAGTGAAAATTAGCAAGATTATTATTAATAGCATCACTGTGTCTATCCCTGTATGTATACTTGTTCAGAAAAAATGTAGGAGTTGTAATCAGTGAATACTTTCTACTTAAAAAAATCCAGAACAATTAAATTTCATGGTCTGTTACTCACCTTGAAAAACAAAAACAGTGGCTAGTGGCATTAAGATCCTCAGAAAGGCAAGGTCTTTTGTACCATTTTTAGAAAAGAGATCCTATTTTTTTTTTTAATTAAAAAAAAATTTTTTTTGGTCAAACTACACAGCAGGCAGGATATTAGATCCCCAACCAGGGACTGAACCCATGCCCCCTGCAGTGGCAGTATGGAGTCTTAACCACTGGACTGCCAGGGAAGCCCCAGAGTGATCCTGTTTAAAGTTAGGAATTATGATAAATTAAGGTGAGAGTTAAGAATAAAGGATGAATACTCAAATGTTACCATTTTTTTATGACTAGTCGTTAGTTCTGTAATGACGCCATACAAAAATGCAAATAGAAAAAGCAAATTATAGACCTTATGTACCACTCTGGTTTCTGGAATAAAACATCTTCCGAAAGGAACCAGCAAAACTGTTAAAAGCAGTTCCTTTGGGTGAGTGGGATTGGGAAAAGGGTATAAAGTCGTAAAAGATTGTTTAGAGACTTCGTTGGTTGGATTTTTACCTCGATTGTGCATTATTCTCAATTTCGAGACAGTAGTGAAGAGTTCTAAAGCAATGCTGATGCTGTGCACTCACTTGCAGGATAATAGTACTTGCTGCTCTTTATTTTAGGAGATCAAGAATTATGAGTGGTATTTTACACCAGATGATATATAGAAGTTTAAACGTACATGGCCCTGAGATATACAAGAGCTGACTCATTGGAAAAGACCCTGATGCTGGGAAGGATTGAAGGCAAAAGAAGAGGGCAGCAGAGGATGAGATAGGTAGATAGCATCAATGACTCAATGGACATGCACTTGAGCAAACCCCAGGAGATAGTGGAGGACAGGGAAGCCTGGTGTGCTGCAGTCCATGGGATCGCAAAGAGTCAGACACGACTTAGCAACTGAACAACAATACTATCGCTTATAGTAGTTGGTTCCATACCTGACCCAGAAGGGGTAGATTGCTCTTCAGTTGGGAGGACGAAGTGAAGGCATATGGAGTTTGGGAATAGTATACCACGTAAGCAGGTTTGTACTGGTTTGGCTTTTTATACTGTGTTCCCCAGGCAATTCGAATCCATACTGAGTTCTCCTCGGCATCTCTGAAGCTGACTGTCACCTTATTTAATAAAAAAAAAGACATAAGTTCTCTAATTAACATATCATGCCTTTTAGGGATGAAGGATGTCACTGTCTGGCTGAAATCTGGCAGTTTTTCTCTTACTTCTCATTACAGTGATTTGGGAAATCTCTGGAAAAGCGTTTTGTGGTTGCTTTGTAAAGATACATTCGTGCCTTGCAAAGTCTTTTGGAAGGAAAAAAAAAATTTAAATCCCACAATTGGTGTATGACATCACAAATTCTCAATAATTTCTTGGGCTTTGTCCTGAAAAAATAGTAGAAAGGGACAGAAAATGGGCTACCTTTTTACAACTGAAACATAGTTTTTAGTTTCTCTTCTTTGTAAGTTTTCCCAAGAACTTTCTATTTTGAAGAGTTTTATCTGATAAGATGTGCAGTTAATCCTCTCTCTCTCTCACACACACACACACACACACATGCACACACTCCACCCATCACTCCCCAGGTACGCTTCCTGTGCCCTCATACCAGCTTCTCTCTCCCGTGGTTCTGGGCAGGAATTCTTAACCTGAAGTCAATGGTTAGAATTCAGGGCATCTATGGACTTGGTGAGGGGGAAATGTCATCTTTACTTGTGGGCCTACCTGATGACTCAGACAGTAAAGAATCTGCCTGCAATGTAGGACCCCGGGGTTCAGTCCCTTATTTGTAAGTGAAATTTAGCATCTCCTTCAATTGTGAAAGTAGGCATCAAGACAGTAGAATTTTAGGATGTTATTTTGTTGTCCACAGAAATCTCAAGTTATTTTTATCACATCACAATTGTTGCATGCGCCTCAAGAATATTATTTACACTTATTAGCACTTTGAAGCTAGTTATTCTCAGACCCATTACACTTATTAGCACTTTGAAGCTAGTTATTCTCAGACCCACTATGAGATTATTTAGTGTGTTAATAAAGGAGCCACATGCATTACTGTATCACAGTTTGCCATCCCAATGCCTTCACAGTAACTGTACTGTTGGTATCATTTGTTTCCCCTGTGATTCTGTAGGTTCCATTTTACAGCATTAAACACACTTCTGAGAAGTCGTCCCTCAGTGTCACTGTCACAGAAGGGTTGAGATGCTCGTCCGAGAGCGGCTGGTGAGTCACTCCTCATTCCTGGGCACCGGGAGATACTACCTGGCACAGGTCGCCCTCATCAGCCTTTCGGAAAGCGGGGTTAACCAGCCACTAGTTAGGTTATGCAGAGGAAGGTAAAGATAAGCCAGGAGGCCTCAGTTGGTTGAGGAAAGGGATGAGGACGTGTTGGTCAGCCCGGAGTAGAGGGACGGGGCAGACGGAGAAGACCCAAGGCCTTTACCTGTCTATCCTCATCTAAAGCCTGCAGCGCACACAGCATGTCACTCTCCAGCTGGTCTTTCAAGCAGGACAGACGTGACCAGTAAAAAGGCTCCTTTGTCCCCCCAGCCCCATGCTTTTGCTGCTGTTCAGTCGCTAGTCGTGTCTGACTCTTGGCGACCCCATGGCCTGTAGCATGCCAGGCTCTGTGGGGTTCTCCAGGCAAGAACACTGGGGTGGTTGCCATTTCGTTCTCCACCAGCCCCACTGGTGTGCCTGAAATTCATTCACGAGGCAAAACCTTTCAGACCATGGTAGAGATAAGAAGAGATCTAAAAACTAAAACACAAGGGCATCAAAGTAGGAGGAAATGCGAGTGTTTCAGACTCTTTTTCTCCTTGCATGGTAGGGGCAGTGGCCTAGGGTTCAGAAAACAGAAATCCCTGCTGCCTGAAAGAGGGACAGGAAAGACCATCAAGTGAGGAGAAGGTGCTGGGAAGGAAGATGCATATAAACTCTTAATTGGAGCCAAGAGAGAGAGACGCTCTCTAGCTTTCTTGTTTTGGGTGAAGTAAGATGGGTGTGCTGGCTGCAGTTTTGCAAGAGGAGTCAGCCAGTCAGTTTGAGCTTCATGAGAAGGCTGCTTCCAGAAGGGTCCAGATCATATATCTACAACATTTCTGGAGAACTGGCCAGGGATTCTGTGCCTATGAGGCTCTTTGTTTTTTTTTTTTTTTTTTTAAAAAAAAAACAGGTGCATGCAACATACCCACAGTCCAGACAGGACTCTCCTATAACCTCTGCAGAGTTCACAATTTCATGGTCACAAGAGTTTTCAAATAATATAATCCAAAATGACAACTTATTCACAAAATTTAAATAATAAGAGAAATCTTCTTTTGGTTCAGTTTTATTTGAACTAATTTATAAATTAAATACATCCCCACTCAAAAGGCTGAAGATTTTGTTTTGTTATATAAACCTGATAAAATGATTCTAAGGTTCATCTGGAGGAATGGTTAGGACATTTTTGATAAAGAAAAAAATAATTGGGGGTAGGGGTAGGGTTGACTTGTCTTAAGGGTTTTGAAAATGTTTTAAAAACTAGTGATTAATGGAATGGGGAGTGTGCTCCAGGCAAGTGGCCCCTCTGATACCAAAAGCAGAAGCAGAAAGAGTCGCCTACACTGTCACTGGCAGGACCACTGCAAGTGGTCTCCCTGCTAGGGCAGGGCCGGCCCCTGGAGGAGTAGACCAGAGCAGGAGCTCTCTGCAGGCAGCTGCTCACTCAGGCCAAGCTTGTGCTCCTGCTGGAGACAAGCGAAGGGGACGATGGGGAGGGGCCAGTGGGATTCTTTCCACCTGGGGGGCACAGCAGGAACAAGAAGAAATATTTCCCTCCAAGAGTCTTGGGGCAGAAAAAAACAGGGCTTGAGGATAAGCCTGGGGAAAGGATGTATTTTCTCTGAGAATTAAGCATGTTTATAAGCAGTAGAATAGGAAGCAGAAGAGGGAAGGAAGTAAGGATGCAAAAGAGGACAGAGAATAAGAGAAGAAAAATTGGATGAGGATGTAAGAGATGAATGCACAGCACACAGAAGGGTCGTTATAAGAAAGGAGATGAGGGAACATGTTCGGTGACGCGTGGATATGTAGAAAGCAGGATCAGTTCCAGACTAAAGGATGAGGTAAGGGGATGGAGGTGACATCACCCTTACGGCAGAAGGCAAAGAGGAACTGAAGAGCCTCTTGATGAAGGTGAAAGAGGAGAGTGAAAAAGCTTAAAACTCAACATTCAAAAAACTAAGATCATAGCATCCGGCCCCATCACTTCATGGCAAATAGATGGGTAAACAATGGAAACAGTGACAGACTTTTATTTTCTTGGGCTCCAAAATCACTGCAGATGGTGGCTGCCGCCATGAAATGAAAAGATGCTTGCTCCTTGGAAGAAAAGCTATGACCAACCTAGACAGCATATTAAAAAGCACAGACATTACTTTGCTGACAAAGGTCCATCTAGTCAAAGCTATGGTTTTTCCAGCAGTCATGTATGGATGTGATAGCTGGACCATACAGAAATTTGAGCGCCAAAGAATTGATGCTTTTGAACTACAGTGCTGGAGAAGTCTCCGGAGAGTCCCTTGGACCACAAGGAGATCAAACCAGTCAATCCTAAAGGAAATCAGTCCTAAATATTCATTGGAAGGACTGATGCTGAAGCTGAAGCTCCACTACTTTGGCCACCTGATGCAAAGGACTCATTTGAAAAGATCCTAATGTCGGGAAAAATTGAAGGCAGGAGGAGAAGGGGACAACAGAGGACGAGATGGTTGGATGGCATCACTGACTTGATGGACGAATTTGAGCAAGCTCCAGAAGTTGGTGAAGGACAGGGAAGCCTGGTGTGCTGCAGTCCATGGGGTCACAAAGAGTTGGACACGACTGAGTGACTGAACTGGACTGAAGGGGATGGAGAGACAAGTCAAGGAGTTTGAGAATCAAAATATGCTCCAAAAGGGAACACCTGTGTGCCAGAGGATGGGCACAGCGAGGTGGATAGGACAGAATTTGGGGGCATTTGTTAGTCTTCCTCTATGCAAGGAGGACTAAGGCAGAGTCAGGTGGAAAGGGAATGGAGCAGGGGAGGCTGTGAAAAAGCTATCATCAGCCTGTGACAAGATGCTGAAGTGGCGCTTGGCTCTTAAGTTACAATGACCAAAGCATAGCCGTTAGCCACCCAGGGCCATTTAAGTGAAATTCACTATTGTTACATAAGATGAACACCTTTAGATTCTCAGTCACACCAGCCATTCTTCAGGTTCTTGGCGGCCACATGTAGCTACTGGGCCGTGTCCTGGACATCTCTGATCTAGAACATTTCCATCAATGCAGAGTCCTACCGGGCAGTGCTGCTCTTGAGGAAGAAGCAGAACCCCTGAATTGAAAGGTAAAGGGAGCAGAAAGTTTTTACAATGAGCAGAGTTTGTCTCTGATATCGAGTAGAACAGTATGGAATATTACTAACTGAAATTCTTGCAAATTAAAAAAACAAGGTAGTGATGAATTTTAAGTGCATGGAATCCGTGAAATTGAATCTCATGGAAATTCAGATAAATTCTATTCTTACATTTTTTAATGCTCTCTGAAGAATTTTCTTGAATGAACTTTTGAATTGTTCCATATCAAAAAGGTCAATGTCGTCACCTGTCAAAGTGAAAAGAAAAATCAAGAAAAATCAAGGGAGCTACACTGTCTTCAATACATTTGCAAAGACCCTGAGTAAGAACAATAATGATCAAATCACACAAACACTGCCAGTATCTCTGACTCAGCATCACCAAATATATTTCTCACTTTTCTATACATGAGTAATAATCACTTCATTTGGAAAGAAAAGACTTAAGAGGAACATGCTGCTGTTCCTTTTTAAATTGCCCAAATATCAAATACAAGTGTTTGGTTTAAAATGAGAAACATTACCTGGTCCTTTACTCATCTGAAAAACATCCCAAATTTTCTGGTGCCGATGAAACTGAGTATCTGAGGGAGGAAGAAAGAGCTTATTACCGCACGTCAGAGAACTTTCAAGCAACAGGCTTCTAAGTACATATTTTTAATAATGTGAAAGTGGAGAAAATAACAGTAATTTACAAATTAAGTTATGCAGATTTTTCTTTGAAATATAAATTTTCAATGGATTAAATTTACTCCAATAAAATAAGTTATAATGAACTATTCAACATAGTAGAGATTTAGCCTTTATTCTTAGACCATTTATTCTGTCCACACAGGTCTATTCCACAGAGTGCTGCATCTCTCCAGCAAGCCAGCGATGACGTGTTCCTGGCACTGGTGTTTCCATTGACTGCTTATTCTGGACCACTCTTCTCCTAGCTCCTTGGGCACCTCATTCTGGTCTCTACTAAAACATCACCATGCAGAAAGGCCTTCCTGAGCACTCTACTCAAATTGAAGGCCCCATCCCACTATGGTTTTTCCAGTAGTCATGTATGGATGTAAGAGCTGGACAATAAAGAAGGCTGAGCACCAAAGAATTGATGCTTTCGAACTGTGGTGTTGGAGAAGACTCTGGAGAGTTCCTTGGACTGCAAGAGATCAAACCAGTCAATCCTAAAGGAAATCAGTCCTGAATATTCATTGGAAGGACTGATGCTGAAGCTGAAGCTCCAATACTTTGGTCACCTGATGTGAAGAGTCGACTCATCAGAAAAGACCCTGATGCTGGGAAAGACTGAAGGCAGGAAGAGAAGGGGATGACAGAGGATGAGATGGTTGGATGGTATCACAGACTCAATGGATATGAGTTTGAGCAAGCTCTGGGAGATGGTAAAGGACAGGGAACCCTGGTGTGCTGCAGTCCATGGGGTCACAAAGAGTTGGACATGACTTAGCAACTGAACAATAATAACAACATTCCATCCTGCTCTAGTTTCCTTCATGGCACTTATCACTACCTGACATTACAGCATATATTGGGATGTTCATTTGTACACTTGCTTGTACGCATGGGATACTGGACTTAGTCTTGTTCACCTTATTCCCAGTGTCTAGCCACTGGCTGGCATTAAAAATATTCATTTGATGACTGAATGAATGAATGGATGAATGTATGATACAGAAGGCACCCTTTAGGAGTTACAAACTTAAAGAGTATTTTGGATTAAAAATGGATCCAGTAAGTTACTGAGCTCAGCCCCAACACATCATCATCCTGGCTTTACTCGGACCCTGTGCTGACTCCCATCTGCATCCGTGTCAAGGACCAAGGTGCTCTGCACCCCAAAAAGAGGTACTGTGGGCTCCAACACTCGAGGGCACCAATGTGCTGTGCCTTTGAACTATTATTTTTCGTGCCCTGTGTCTTTTTCTTTTCTTCCCCTTTTCTTCCCCTTTCTTTTCTTCCTTGGTGTTCTCTCCCTATCCCAGTCTGTTTATGGCGATGGCCTGAGAAATCTTGATTATCTAGTTTTGTCTAAATGAGCTGTAATCAGGTACAATGTGATGTCTGCCCTTAAAGACAGCATCCAAAGGGTTTTGTTTCTTTCTGGCATTTTCTTCCTTGGTTCTGTGTTTCAGAGTTCAGATGGCCTGCTAAATCATCTCTGGATAAGGTTGTTATAATAATAATAATGGAGATGAATCATCTTTTGTTGATAATGATTCTTTTAAACACCATGCAGAAGTTCATGATAAATGGCAAAGAATTAAGTACAAATGCAGACATTTCCTCGAATAGTATGCATCGGAGACTAAACCATGATCTTTGTGACAAGCTTGGTCCACTTCTAGTGTCCACTGTCTCAGTCGGGGGTCCACTTTCCTTCTAGGGGCACATGCAGACCCCGGAATCATGCCTACCTCTCTCTCTCAGTATCCCTTGACCACACCATGCGCAAGTCCAGTCAGCATTATCCTTACAAACTTAAGAGTACTTAAGCGGCACTGTGATTATAACAAATTCTCAGAAATATATTTTCAAATTCTGTTAGCAATAATACAAAGCCTAGCAAATATTTACTATGTGCTTATTATGTGCCAATTACTGTGTTAAGAACTTTTCAAGGCTTATCTTACTTAACCCTCACAACGACCCTGTGAAATACAGGTTGTTATTATGTCCATTTGAGTTAGGAAAAGTCTGAAGCTTAGAAAAAGGTGACGTGACTTGGCAAAGGACACAAGACTGGTAAGTGACAGAGCTGAAATATGAAACCAGGTCAGCTTGACTCTAAAATCTGAGCCATCACATACAAAACTGCCTCTCTGATGAAACTGGACTGGTTAAGTGTAAATACAAATCACCAAGACTTACAAATGATGTCTAAAAGGGCTGCATCATTGAGACTCGCACGATTCTCCTGAAAGAGAATATAATAATACTTTTAGTAATTATGGTGACAGGTTTGGTTCCACTCCATCTACAGCACATTTTAGGGTTGCTTAGGACAGACTATGAGGGCCCTCTCAAAACTGTACTGACAACGTGTCTCCCACCTATGCTCTTCTGTTAAGTAACAAATATGCCTTCTGATTCGTGTCCTAGTACAGGCTCTCACAAGTGTTCTCCCATGATCTACTCTTCACTGATCACTTTTAACTTTGTTTGGTTTTTTCAATCAGTGGTATCCTTCCCGACCCCCTCTATACCAGTGTTTCTCAGCTAGGCTTGAGTGACATTTTGAGTCAGACACATCTGTGTTGTGGAAGCTGTCCTAGAATGTAAAGGAACATTCCTGGCCTCTATCCCCTGGAAGCCAGCAGCTGCCACTCCCAGTTTTGACAACCAGAAACATCTCCAGATGTCGTGTCTTCTGGGAGCAAAACCATCTCAGCTGAGAACTACTACTCTATACATACACATTTGTATGTTCACATAGTATATAGTTTCTTTTAATGTTATACATAAAGATCTAGTTTATTCTTTTTAATGATCGAAGAGTATTTTGTTAAGTGGATGTATCATTATTTATCTCATCTCCTAAGTATAGTTAGTTTCAATTTTTTGTGTGTAAATAATGCTAGTTAACATCTTTATTTACATGTAACCATTTATATATAACTAGATATATGTTTATCAATTACATCATATATACCTCCTTAATTTTTATGTTTGCTATATATTTAAATATCCAGAAGTGGAACTGCTGGGTCATAAAGTATATTTATTTAAAGATGAATGAGGGAAGGGTATACTGGGTATATAAGGGTATAGTAAAATTCTTTGTACTATACTTGCAACTTTTCTGAAAGCCTGAAATCACTTTAAAATAAAGAGCAAATAAGTAAATAAATACATGTGAAAGAGAATGTCTCTTTCTGCATAACTTGATCAACATATTTGAGTATTATCTTTTCATCTTTGACAATCTGATAGTTTAAAAAAAGAATACTGCTCATTATTTTAACTTCTTTGTCTGTTTCTTCTCCCTTGGTAGTCACTTTTTTTTTCTCACTAATTTGTAAGCATTCTTTCTAAGTTGAAAAATCCAATTAAAAATTAGCACCTTTTCCACTATAGTGGGACAGAACCCTCCTCATGTCACAGGCTAGAGCAACTTAAATCTCTTTTGGACTAAGGAAAGGAAAGAAAGAGAAAAACCTAAGGGTAGCGTGGTATTCAAGGTTAATCATTTTGAACACTGTTACCTCACAAAGCAGAACCAAGTCCTGAACAATAGATTCCTTTCTCTGCCGAAAGTTTACAGTCTGCAGTTGATTTTCAGACAAAAAATTCCAGGTTTTTAGGACTGTCATCATTTCAGTCATTGGGATTTTCAAGATGGTCCTCCTGAAAAACTCAGCAAGAGTTTCATCCATCTCTTTGGCACTTTAATAAAAATAAAAACAAAAACAACACAACAAAGTATTAAGCAAACACAAAAGTACAACTTAGTGAACTTTCAGCATCATAATTTTAGCCAGAATTATGATTTGTAGGTCAAACACCCAAAATTTTCAGGTATTCTGCAGAGAGTATTTCAACAAGAGGATTTTCTCTTAAGTGTACATTTAAACATATTTTAAGGTTTTAAAAAATTAATGTTCTCTCTCCTTTCTTGGCTAGAGTATTTTGATCTTTTGATAGCAATAGTAAGTGATTCATTCACTCATTTACCTATTCATGTATCAAATTACTATGCACCCATGAGAGCCAGGCACTTTTTTAGGCACAGGGGATAGAGCTTTAACCAAAAATGACAAAAATCCCTGTCAGTAGGAAGTGTCCTTCCTAGCTGGGAGAGACAGGCAACAGGAAAATCACAAAAAAAATGTTAAAAGTGGTAAGCGCTGAGAAGAGAGCAATGTTAGGAAGCTAGTAGCAGTGAATATGGAGGAGGCTGGGAATGGGTGGGGGAAGAGGGGAATGGAGAGCAGGCCTGAGAGAAGGTGGCATCTGAGCCAGTTCTTGGGGGAGGAAGAGTGAGCCATGTGGCTGGTTGCTGGAAGAGCTCTCCAGGCAGATGGAACAGCAAGTGCAAAAGTCTTGGGGCCATCAAGGGGAGAAGGAGGCCTCCAGACAGGCCAGAGAGGAGAGTGAAAAGGCCCAGAGGAGGAGCTGAGGAGGGCCGTATTTATGACAAGCAGCAGAAGTCAGTCAGTCATCTCATCCGCTTCCACCAAGACTACGGGATTTACAAGGACAAACAGAAGAGATTCCCCTAAAAGGATCGTGGCTATGAGTTATTTCTACCATTTAAGCGTTTGTTGAATGGCATATGATTTACTACATGATTATATATTATATGATTAAGCTCCACTAGGGCAGGAACTATGTTTGTCTTATTCACATCTGCCTTCCTAGAATCTAGAACAGTTTCAGCCCAAGAACTGTCTTAGTGGAAATACTTGTTGAATAGGAAGCCCCAAAGTATTAGATACTCTCCCTAAGAAGCCGTGCCTGAGGAGATAAACAACCTGGGAATGATTAGGGTTCAACAGCCAGTGACAATATCAAGCCAACGTCCCCCATCAAAAACACTGAAGGTGGGGAGTGGTTCTTAAAACGCAGACTCCTGGGCCCAGCGATTTAAACGAGGGGAGGGGAATGCGGGGGAAGTGCTTGAGATTTCTGCATTTTTACAATTAGTCTTAATTCTGGCTAAAGTTTGGGAATGTCATTGTAAAGAATTCTGGAAGAGGGAATGGAGGGAATGCAACCTCATCAATAAAACTGGAAACCCTTGAATAAACTCTTCTGATTCCCTGTGATTATCTAATTTCTTCCCACTTCGCTGCGCGTGGCACAGAGTCTCGCATATAGTAGGTACACGAGATATAACAACTGAGCGCATGACCAAAAAGGTCCCTGTAAATATACACCGCCGAAGAGCTGCCACAAGGAGCAGGAGTAATGCGAGACTAAAAAGGACGGACGCCAAGGTTATCCCCAAATCAAAACACCCAACTCGGAGGGAAGCAGCAACGGAACGCTGAGTTTAGCACTTGACAGCTCTGGGCGGCGCCCGCGTGACGCAGGCCCTACGTAAGGCCCCGCCCCACCAGGGCGGATGTGACGTCACGACCCAGCTTCTCCGCCCTCTTCGCCTCAGCCTCAACCGAAGTTCCCCCGCTTCAGGCCCAAGACCAAGGACTAGTCCCTCACCTTGGGGACCGTGGCAGTCACAAGAGAGTAGCCTCAGAGTCGTGGGACGTGGCTTCTTCTAGGCTCCCGCCACATCCCGCCCGATCCCACGCCGCCACGGGTTCTCTTACCGTCCCACATCGCCGGCCGGCTCTCTCCTCATCGACTGTTCCCGCCCGCTGCACCTTCAAAACCACCAATTGCAGTTCCCGCCGTGCTGGAGCCCCGCCCACCGGGGGGACGCCAACTCTGGACTGTACCCTCGACACAGGGGACCGTGTTAGGAGAGCGACAGAAGTGAAACGCGCCGAGCGCCCTGCCTCACTCTTCTCAGCAGAGAATATTTTTTGAGTGCTTTAATCCCAGCCACGAAATCTGGCTTGTCAGTTCCCCTTCAATTTTAGGCTCTGCGGCGCCTCGGCGGACTCGCTCTCCCTCCCCTCCCAACTCCTGAAAATGGGCTCGTCCAGGCAGGGCGGCGCAGGCGTCTGAGGCGGCGAGCGGCGGGGGCTGGCAGAGCAGGGTCAGCAGTGGAGGGCGCCTTGCCTTAGCCTCGCGGAGCTGGCCCGGCTCCGGCGTCCAGGCCTCGCGTTTGGAGGCGCAGAGTCTTCGCCGGTGAATACCTATTCCGGTCTCCGGGTGTGGCCACTAGTCGGGTGAGTCTCGGGGGTCCGGGGCGTTCGGAGGCGCTCTTTCTTCCTGGCCGCGTTGTGCGGGGAGGCCGCGGGACACCCACCGGGCCCCCCTCAGGTCCCTCTCACGGTCGCGCCCCGTCGTGTCCCGTCGTGTCCCGTCCTGCCGTGACTTCCCGCCGGCCTCGGGGGTCGGGACCGCCACGCTGGATTTCCCGGGGCGGTATAGGTCGACTTGAGCTCTCCGCCCTCGGGCATTTTTTGAGGATGCGCTGGTAGTTGAGAGCAGGCTTCGGGGTAGACATTCTGTCTCTGCCTCACAACTCTCAAGCTGGTGACCTTGGGCAGGCTTCTCCCTCCTCGGTTTCCTCGCCTGAGAAATGGGTGTAATCCAGCGCCTAGGTTGTGAGAAGCGCTCAACAACGTGTCTGACACGGCGAGCGCTCCCTACGATGTATGATTGTTATTGCTCTTGGGGATACAGGAGTTCAGGGTTTGCTTGTGGGAGCCTGTTAGGGCGCCTCTCAGCTGCAGTGAAAATTTCCACCAGTCCGTCCTGCGATGTGAGAATCCAGTAAGATCCTCATCAGTAGACTTTTCAAGGAAAGTGACAGGCAGATCCCTTTTATCGGGTTTAAAGATGACCGAGCTTGTTTCACAATAAGTGGTTTATGAAGAGTTAAGTAAATCCTAGTACTGATTTAAATGCATAAAGGAAGGTTGCAAAGACAAAGGAATTCTGTTGTAAGACACTCCTTGTGTCTCCTTTCCTGTTCATACAGGCTGCTGCACATGTTTGGTTGATTTTAAATGACCCTCATTTCCCAATTTTTAAAAAGGAAAAACTCTGTTAAGGTCTAAATCAGTGCTCAAATCTGTGATAATACTGCTTTCAGGAAACATTTATTGGGCATATACTGTGTGCATTTAGGAGAATATCTCTTCCCCAACTAGCCTGTGTGTTCTTTGATGGTTATGGACTAGTTTTTTTTTTTTCTGCTCTGAACTTCAGGTGGTTTGACAGAGGGCTCAGCACCAAGAAAGTGATGATAAATCCTAGTTCAGGGAATGCTACAACTGGGCCCATGCCTTAAGAAATGACCTGAGGTTGCTGTCAGTAGCAGTAGGGGCATGGTCTGTACTCGGAGCACTTGTCACCAACTCAGAAGCCTCTGTTTAGATTTGGTCATTTTGCAGCTGTGTAAGAAAAAGTGAGTGGGGAAGGTCGTGCCCTGTTGTGTCTGCTACTTCTGCTCAATACTGTGCAGTTTGAAGTAGAGAGATACTAATTTAACTAATTCCAGAGCTTTCTGAAGTTAGACTTAAAAAAAATGTTTTAGAGAGCAGTTTTTTCCTGGAGAACAGATTCTTTAGGCTCTGAACAAGAGACTTTTCTGGCCTTGTTTTTAAATGACATTAGAAATTGTAACTGTAGTGTGAATTTCTTTTTGGTGAAGCCACACAATAGCAAAATCTCTCTAAAGAAAGCCTTAGTGGCATTAAAATATAGGGTTTCCTTCTTGTGATTATAGATCTGCTGAAGTGTGTTATTAGAATGTTTCCTCTCTTTTCTTCACTAGAGTTCATATATTGCTTGTGCTCAGTGGTTTTTTTTTTTTTTCTTCTAAAATTGTGCCACCTGGTGGTTGAAATCTATCATAGACTGCTTGTTAGATTTTACCTCAGAGTCTTGGTAGAATAAGGTGAAGCAGTGAATAAAATAAAGCTATAAGTTTTGTATCTTTAGCGAGAGCTCCCTATTGCTTCGACCCTCCCAGCTCGCCTCCAAGTGAAAGTTATGATTGCTTTGCAGGGACCTATTAGACAGTTATAAAAATATCAGATGTCACAGATGAACATTTTTAAAAGTTCAAGTAGACTGTTTTGGTATCAATCTGTGCATACCTGAGGAAGTGGATGGGATTGGCATGGGGAGAGAAGAGTTGTAATTGTGAGAAGTAAACTGTTCTAATGTTTTCTAAATGCCAGTGTAAAAATGGAACTGAAGTTTTGTGTTTAGCTAAATAATAACTGTTTGAATAGAGTTATACCTCTCTTTCTCATTAGAACACCCCTACACTAAATCTTACCACAAATGAATGTTTCCTTCACTTTTTTTTTTAATACAGTGTGTCTGTAATTATCTTGGTGCTACCTTTTGAAACTGTTTTCTCTATTCTTAACAATAAGAAGTATTTATCCTTTGAGTGCAAATTTTATTTTTGGAAATGGCTTAAATTTAATTGTGAACTTAGATTTGAGAAAAAAACTTAAGGATGCAATGTAAGAATGTACTCTGTGACATCCTTACTTAACTTAGCCAGTCTCTTGGGCACAGGAGACCAGATAAATGAGAAGGTCACACAGTAGCTTGTTTCAATGTTGGACAGCCCCAGGAAAATGACATCTGCCCATGTAACTTCCAGTTTGATTTCCAGTCCTGTCCTCCGACACATCTCAGAGTCAGTTCAGTTCAGCCTTTCTCATCAGGTGACAACACTTCAGATATACTAATGATAATACATTTGTCACACTTACTCTTGATATAGGTCTAGAGCTAATTGCATTTTATGGAAGAAGAAACTTATGTTTCAGATTAAGTAGCCAAAGTGATATAACTTGTGAATATCTGTGTCCACAGTTTTTACCTCCAGACCCACATCTTCTCCCTTCAAATCCATTACTTGTCCTACTTATTCTGGCTGTTCTCTGTTTTCTCTGTTGTGGATTTCCCTTAGTTAGTAAATATTCCCAATTTCATGAATGGCTTCCTGTTTAAACCTAATATCAGAGCCGTCTCCTTCCTGAGCATTCGCCCCAAGAATATCCAGATTGTCAGTGTTCTGGACATGGCTGATCAGGACAAGCATAATACTTTTCTTTTTCTTGATGTGGACAGATACTCTTGTTTCTAGTAATACAGGATAGTATTACATTGACTTCTTTGAACCTCAGCCTGCAATTAGTCCCTGTTGAACTTGTAGCTAACCAGAGGTTGTTTGGGGAGTAGTTTTTTCTATCTGAATTTATTTCATTCACAAACTGCTGGGAAGGCATATCTTTCTTATTTTGAAAGTGGGAGAAATGTGTCACGGTGAGAGATTACGTTGAGTAGTAACTCTGCTATTTACTGTGTGACCTGGGGTTTAGTTTTGCTATGAAAATATGAGTAACACATATTTTGACCTACAAAAAAGCAACTTCTTATGGTTTAACTGAATTTAAAAAGGTACCTGCTTCCTACAGTTATTGGAAGAATTATGAGACTTGTGCCTGCACATGGTAAGTATTCAACAAATTATTTCTACTCTAATAATATATTGTTACAGCTTTGAACAAATTTTAAAAATAAGAATATGGAATATATATTTGACTTTTATTCATTTCATGAAGTTTTACTTGAGTTATAATAGTGTTATTAGAATAGGCTTTTAAAGATGACTACTGAAAGGTGTCAGCATTCATCTAAATGTGATCTAAGAACAATGTTATTGTTTTATAGTTATACTTTGTATATTATACCCAAGAGTACCCCAGTACATATGCGTATGCACCAACAGTTAGCCAAAGCTGGTGGATGGAAGGAAGGGGAAGGAAGAGAATATCTAACTAAAAGGGTAGAGGCAAGAGGGGAATGATTGATTGATAAGGGATGATTGTCAGGTAAGGGATAAGATAAGTGTTTAGAGCTTTAAGTTAAATAATAGCTTTCACAAAGAACAAGAAAAGGAAACTACTATATATGAAACCATTTTCATATTTGATATAATCATCTAGGATAAGTAGGTAGAAGGGGAGATAAGTAGGTAGAAGTACACCATGGCTGTGTGTAGAGTAACATACACATTTGAAGTAAACTTTTAAGGAAGGAGAAAAAAAATATGTACCATGGTATATATTTTTGCTTATATACAATGTGCATATGTGTGTTTATCTCAGTACCCAAGTGTTTTCTTAAGTATTTACTTTGCCAATTAGAGAGGGCTTTTCAGTACCTCAGAAGTTTGTTTCTGAACTGTAAAAGCACACATTTGAGGGCTGGTTCATAGATATATGCAAAAATATTTTGTTAAATATGCTTACAAAATAAAATGTTAAAGACATTTTCTAGATGACTAAAACCAGTGTACATCTTCCTTCAGAAAAAAGAAGCAAGGCAGAAGCCAGATAACTCTTACTATATGTAAGTGTAGGTGTATAATATTGATATAATATTAGATGACTTAAATTGCTGTACTGTATGAGACCTCTTTTTTCTGAGGTAGAATATTTATATCATTTTAAAAGATTGTAGTCAGTGACAGGCAAACAAAACTTGAACTTGGCTGCGTGTTCAGTTTCCATTTCCAATACTCAAGTATTTTAACTTGGCACAATGGCCTGATTTGTGATCTTTAGCTGTGGTATGTTTGTGTGTGTGGCAGGGGGTGGGGTTGAGGTTATTAGTCACTCAGTGGAACAGTGATTTGATACTTTAAGAAGTTGAAATCTGAAGTAGTAGGTATAATTCTCTGCAATTATTTGTTTAGTC